CCTCCCGCCTTCACCTTACTGAACATGAACAACATAAGCCTCATAACGATCACTAGAGGCTAAAATGACTAATTTCATTACGAAGCTCAGCATTAGGGGGCAAACTCCTTATGATCATATAATTTATGACAAAACTCATTATGATCATATGCATCATAACCAAAAGCTTTATTACCAAATGCTTGATAATAAAATACTTTATACCCAAAATCCGTTATAACCGAATGCATTGTGGCTAAAAGCAGTGTGACCAATTGCATGTGATTGTCTAGTGTATGGAAGGTTGAGAGAAGCGCTCGCTCGCTAAGGTTACAACGGAAGGTAAACCACACAAACAAACCCAACACGTTACATCCCTCTTGGGAGACTTGAGGGGAACTTATGCCCCTCGCTGACAACCACTTAAATAACCAACCTTTGCAGGCAGTCATTAACAACTGCTCCTGCAACACACCTCAGAGGCGAGTGTTCCCCCGAGCAGCGTGGCCCACAACACTAGAGATGGGGAAGGGGCGAGTGTTCCCCCGAGCAGCGTGGCCCACAACACTAGAGATGGGGAAGGGGCGAGTGTTCCCCCGAGCAGCGTGGCCCACAACACTAGAGATGGGGAAGGGGCGAGTGTTCCCCCGAGCAGCGTGGCCCACCACACTAGAGATGGGGAAGGGGCGAGTGTTCCCCCGAGCAGCGTGGCCCACCACACTAGAGATGGGGAAGGGGCGAGTGTTCCCCCGAGCAGCATGGCCCACCACACTAGAGATGGGGAAGGGGCGAGTGTTCCCCCGAGCAGCGTGGCCCACAACACTTGAGATGGGGAAGGGGCGAGTGTTCCCCCGAGCAGCGTGGCCCACCACACTAGAGATGGGGAAGGGGCGAGTGTTCCCCCGAGCAGCGTGGCCCACAACACTAGAGATGGGGAAGGGGCGAGTGTTCCACACTCTACAATACACCCATTTCCTTCCTCGACAGGTCCCGCCCGCCAGAGTAGACTACCAAACAAGAAGCGCGCTATGTGATAACCAGACACATGTTCCGGACACTTACACATGTTCCAGACACAGACACATGTTCCGGACACAGACACATGTTCCGGACACAAGTTTCGACGATCATACCACTGAAAAATGCAAAATTTTGGCAACAGATTGTTGAACAAAACATATCACTTTAACAATTCAAAACTATCGTAAGTGAATGGCTATTAAGAGAGAAGAGTGAAGCGCCCCACATAACTAGAGAACCGCAGACAAACACTGCAGTTCCAGATTGTAAACTGGAAAGTAAAATGTAACTAGTGACGTAAAAATAATAAAAATAATAATTAGTTCTATTCATATAACAAAGAAGGGTTTTAGTTGCACTTCCAGACTGGAGGGAACTGGTGGTAGTTTTTGTTATGAAACTCTCTATTACTCCAAGACTTGGAGGTGACCTGTGACCTGCAAGTTGTCTGCAACGTGGACGAGTTTCTAGCAATATGGATGAATGAGAGTCTGCAAAACCTGGAAACCTTCACTCTTTGTTTAAATAATAAGCGAGTCACTTGGACAGGTGTGAGGCGTGAGCAACTGCCGTATGACAGGACTCGTTGCCACCTGTTCCCTGTACATGTCAGCACACACACACAACGTCAGCTCGCTCCTCTATACAGGCCAGGAGAGAGATAACGTCTTCCTGTTCTCTGCATATATCAGATGAGAGAACTTTTGCCTGTTCTCCATACATGTCAGAAGATAAAACTTCCAGTTCATTATATATGTCAGGTGGAACAACGTCACCCTGTTCGTTGTACATGCCGAGAGAGAGAGAGAGAGAACTTCTCCCTGTTCTTTGTACATGTTTCGTGAAAGAACTACTTCCTGTTCTTTGTACATATCAAGAGAGAGAGAGAACTTTTCCCTGTTCTTCCAATATGGCAGAGGCAATTCCGTTTTCCTGTTCTTTCCAAATGTTAGACATTTTTTTACCTTCTTGTTCTTTATACAGGTTACGAGAACTTCCGCCTACCTATTCTTCCTTCATCTATTTCATAATAGATAATGTTTTCCTAATCTTTGAACATGTCAGAAGAAATTCCGTTTCCTCGTTCTTTGAACATTTCAATAACATCACAGTATAAAACAATTAGCCATGTGTCTTGCTATTTTAGAACATCAGAGAAAGCCTAGTTTGATACAGTCGAAGCAAAAAACCAAATTGCAAAACTACAGGAGCGAAATTTATGGCAAGCTGTTGACATGGAATGTTTCGCAAGCAAATGTATCGAGTATGTGCAGTTCCCACACCCTAGTTAGTGACTGAAGGCACACAAGTCAACACCGTTGATGACAGGTTGTGGCAAGAGACACCACTGACCCCGCAGGCCGCCTCTACCGCCAGGAGAATGGAGGAAGTGCTATGAGGGGAAGGCGGGCGAGTCAGGTGTGTGAGTGTGTGCGAGGCAAGAGAGAGAGAGGCAAGTATATAAGCCAGTCCACGACCTGGACCCACATCACACTCCACCATGAAGCTCCTGGTGAGTAGCAGTGCAGTGGGAGTGTCAGTGTTTGTGTTCCACAGCTCCTTCACTGTGCTTCTACAGTGGAGAGGCGCTGGCTTAGTGCTCTAGCAGTCATCACTGCTCGTCCTCGAACCACTAGTATTTTGTTCCAGCCGGCTCTGCCCAGTGCTATGGGAGAACTTTATGTTATAATTTATACTACATTTGCACTATACATGTGTATGTATATACACATTATATATGTAAATATATATATATATATATATATATATATATATATATATATATATAATCACTGCAGGAAACAAGAAGTCACATTAAGAACTTTCGCTTATTACATCTGGAGGTAATCTGCTTGAGAATGTAATAAGCAAAATTTGTTGCTGTGAAGCATCTCCTTTCCTCGTGTACACACACACACACACACACACACACACACACACACACACACACACACACACACACACACACACTTTACACCTGGTTAATGCATCATTTGTGTCCGCAGATCCTGGTCTCCACGCTGGTGGCCGCCGCCAAGGCCGGATCGCTAGGATACAGCCTCCCCACGCCCTCTGGACCAGCATTTGGAGCCGACTCGTTAATCGGTTCAGGGTTTGGAGGTGGCGTTGGGCACGGGGGTGGCGTAGGGGTTGGAGGTGGCATCGGGATTGGAGGTGGCGGTAGCTACGGTGGAGGTTGTGGAGGAGGACAGATCCTCCATGTTGACGGCAGCTGTGTGACTCCTCTGGTCACTCGCAATCTGTACGTGTACAAAGCTCCTCCAGTGTCCCCAATCATCGGGCCGAAGCCATACGTTCCTCCACCAAAGGTTGAACATAACGTTATATTCATCCATTCCCCAGAAGTTGGCTTTGGTCAGGAACCCATCGTCGTGCCTCCACCTGTTCAGAAGAACGTCGTGTACGTCCTCAACAAGCGACCAGAACTGGACCAGAAGGTCGTCCACGTCCCAGCACCAGAACAACAGACTCCACAAGTGTATTTCGTCAACTACGCCGACGGCGACAACCCTACGCTGCCCACCGGTGGAGACCTCCAGTCTGCCCTCAGCTCTGCTGCTCACGGCGGTGGCCAGGTTGTCGGCGGTGGCGGTTTTGGTGGTGGATTCGGTGGTGGACTCGGCGGCGGTTTCGGTGGTAGTGGTGGCGGCTTTGTTGGTGGCTATGGAGGTGGCAGCAGCTTCGTGGGTGACGGAGGCTTCGGTAGTGGAGGTATCAAAGGAGGAGGAGGAGGTTTGTCGGTGAGCGCTCCATCAAGCCTGTACGGCGCGCCCTAGTCGCCAGTCAATACACCAGTTATGTTTTTATATACATTTATAAGATATTAGTCAAATGGATTACCTGTATCGTTTGTTTTTAAAAAATGAAATCTGTTATTTTGTATTATTTTCTTGAAATATATATTTATATTATTCACTATATAATTTAAACCCAATGTAAAAAAGTACCACATGAAAACTGTTAACTCATTGGGTCAGCTTTTGTAAAATTGTTTCCCTCCCAGGTCTGGAGAATTACCAAGACTACACTGCATAAAATCACCAGATAAAACGTTGAGGTAAACATTTTAGTGTTTGGGTTCGAATATTAGTGGAATATGGATGTTACTCAGTTCTTTAGGCCGGAGGGGGAGACCTGATCAGCATTACGGGCTCAGCATCACGAGTGTCGCTTCAGCAACACCAGCCACACAGCCACACAGCAATACCAGCCACACAGCCTCACCAGCCACACAGCCACACCCGTGTTTGAACTTACTTTCGATAATATAATTAAACTGTTCGAGTAGGCAAATCTATGGTAACTGGCCACGCTTTTTGGCTTCATATGTAATTTTGAATGATTCGCTTGCGCATTTCTTTATTAACATTAACACATCATGATCTACATAAACCCGAGACAAAGTGAAACGCACATCACACATTCCCTTATACGAGGCTGCCAGCACCTCCCGGAGGTCCTCACCTCACCATCACGTCTTCCTCAAGTGTTTATATTATGTGAGGAACTGTAATTATCCACACAGCACCGCTTCTGTGCCAGGTAACTCCACTACGGGCTCACCATAGCCCGTGCTACTTAGAACTTGTTCCGAGTAGCTGAATCTATAACAACAACATGTAATTATCAGGAGAAAACCCCAAGCCGTTGCAGCTATATCACTTGGAAAGGATGAAGATTTAGGATACGACGAAGGGAAAGAATAGTGCCCAACCACCTAGATGGATGAGGATTGAACGCCGACCTCAAGAAGCGAGAGCATCAGTCTACCGTTCAGTCCAAGTGGTTGGGCATTTGTGAGCATAATTCTTTCGGCGACTCCCATTGTACGGCAAAATGTGGATTATTCAAAAATGCAGATTAATTGTGTCACAAGGAGTAATGTCTGACGTTGCAATCGCAGAGGAACACAAGCAACAAAGAGCGCAGGTCACCCAGCCAGGTGAGTATATCCAGGAGAGGATCCAGTTCCAGTGAAAAGAATACGGCACTGAAAACGGGACATCGTCCGGCTTCCAGCTGTAGCCTATTACCACCAGTCCAGCTGCAACGTACATAGTACCAGCCTAGTAGCAGGCTAGTCCCAGCCTAGTAGCAGGCTAGTCCCAGCCTAGTAGCAGGCTAGTCCCAGCCTAGTAGCAGGCTAGTCCCAGCCTAGTAGCAGGCTAGTCCCAGCCTAGTAGCAGGCTAGTCCCAGCCTAGTAGCAGACTGGTACTAGCCTAGTAGCAGGCTAGTCCCAGCCTAGCAGCAGACTAGTACCAGTCTAGTAGCATACTAGCACCAGCCCAGCAGAAGGCAGCCCCGGTCCCGCGCTCAAAATCTCCAGGATTATCGCTTCTCGCAATTCGATAAGTCTGGTCTGATCCATAACACTAAAGTTCTAACAATCTTTTTTCAATTAACACTTCTTCTTCTCCTCTAAAATGTTCAGCTTTCTACGTTGAGGAAAATATGAATGTAAAACTAGCTCTTTTAATATATAAAAAGTAAAAGATAGACAAAAATAATAAACCCCAAATTGCCTTGTTCTCGACCACAACACAACTCACGGTGAAGACTCCTTTCACTTGTCTGGTGCGGCATACAGCTGGAGCTGCTGGAATACAGCAGTGCTCACAACGTGATACAGCTGGAGCTGCTGGAATACAGCAGTGCTCACAACGTGATACAGCTGGAGCTGCTGGAATACAGCAGTGCTCACAACGTGATACAGCTGGAGCCGCTGGAATACAGCAGTGCTCACAACGTGATACAGCTGGAGCTGCTGGAATACAGCAGTGCTCACAACGTGATACAGCTGGAGCTGCTGGAATACAGCAGTGCTCACAACGTGATACAGCTGGAGCTGCTGGAATACAATAGTGCTCACAACGTGATACAGCTGGAGCTGCTGGAATACAATAGTGCTCAATAGTGCTCACAACGTGATACAGCTGGAGCTGCTGGAATACAATAGTGCTCACAACGTGATACAGCTGGAGCTGCTGGAATACAATAGTGCTCACAACGTGATACAGCTGGAGCTGCTGGAATACAATAGTGCTCACAACGTGATACAGCTGGAGCTGCTGGAATACAAGTGCTCACAACGTCATACAGCTGGAATACAATAGTGCTCACAACGTGATACAGCTGGAGCTGCTGGAATACAATAGTGCTCACAACGTGATACAGCTGGAGCTGCTGGAATACAATAGTGCTCACAACGTGATACTGCTGGAGCTGCTGGAATACAGCAGTGCTCACAACGTGATACAGCTGGAGCTGCTGGAATACAATAGTGCTCACAACGTGATACAGCTGTAGCTGCTGGAATACAATAGTACTCAACGTGATACAGCTGGAGCTGCTGGAATACAATAGTGCTCACAACGTGATACAGCTGGAGCTGCTGGAATACAATAGTGCTCACAACGTGATACAGCTGGAGCTGCTGGAATACAATAGTGCTCACAACGTGATACAGCTGGAATACAATAGTGCTCACAACGTGATACAGCTGGAGCTGCTGGAATACAGCAGTGCTCACAACGTGATACAGCTGGAGCTGCTGGAATACAGCAGTGCTCACAACGTGATACAGCTGGAGCTGCTGGAATACAGCAGTGTTAACAACGTGATACAGCTGGAGCTGCTGGAATACAGCAGTGCTCACAACGTGATACAGCTGGAGCTGCTGGAATACAGCAGTGCTCACAACGTGATACAGCTGGAGCTGCTGGAATACAGCAGTGTTAACAACGTGATACAGCTGGAGCTGCTGGAATACAGCAGTGTTAACAACTTCAGACAGCTGAATATAGCCGCTGGAATATAAGTGTTGAAAACGATGTAGAGAAAACCACCTAGCCGGAAGTAGATTATTTAGGATGACGTCACTCTTACAAGCGAAAGGATATTCTAAATATAGTGCACTTCCGGCTTGGCTTGGCGTGCACGTCTGGCTTGACTTGTACACCTGGCTTGGCTTAGACTCCCAGTTCGACGTGTATTCGTGGCTTGACGCGTACTCCTAGCCTAAAGATAACTTCTGGTTTAGCTAGTACATGTTTAACTTGCACTTCCGGCTTGGCTTATACTCCCAGCTTGACGTGTTCGTTTGGTTATACTTGCACTACTAGCATGATATGTTCGTCCACTTTGGCTTAACGTGAATTTTTTAGCTTGATTTATAATCCTGGGGTAAGGTTGACGTGTGCTCCCGGCTTGCCTTCACATGTCAAGAAATAACATTTTTACGTATAGTCACTTTAAGGCAGGAATTTAAGCGTTATTAGGCCAATGAAGGAGATTAGTACCGGCGGCTGGCAAGAAACACGGGCAGGTACCGGACCGAGCAACTTATATTGTCACACCATAAAGCAATATCAGTTTCCTCAGGCGGACACAATTGTTAACTAGAGGGGCGAACTGCAAGATTGTCCGTGTTAAGACTTTCACCCCACACCGAGCACCCATCCCACCACAAGCCCGTGCGTGACCACGTGTGCTCCGGAGCCTAGGCTGCCTTGCCTCGCAAATTACTTCGATTTTCCAAAGTGCACCTTCCTATTTCTTGGTCTCACTCTCCAAGTCTCGCAATTGGTCCGGCCACTTTCATTCTCAGGTTAGAGATGGTAGTAAATAGTTGTCTTTGTTGCTGATAGTAGCGGCAACGGGTGAAATGTACCAGTTTGGGAAGCTATTGACAACGTGACATTGCGTAGATGTTAGCGCTGTCGCTTCACAGCCACATGGACCTGGGTTCGATTTTCGGGCAGTGAAAGACTTTTCAGGGCGTTTCCTATCACCTGATGCGCCTGGTATAAAATAGGTATGTGGGAGTTTACACACAGAAATCACAATAACGTGATTTATGTGGGAGTTAGTCAGGTGCGACCCCGATAAGCTTAACAGGATTCCTGTCCCAGACAATGGAAGACCAACTGTCAAGTAAATAAGCTTCATCTGATCAAGAATATATAAAAACCTCACTAAGCAAGTGTAGCTTCCATCTCTATCCGTTAGAGAGAATGTTTGCCTGAAGTTGGAGGCCAGACGCTGGGAGCAGTATTACGACTCTAGTTAGTGGTAGATGTGAGGGGTTGACTGTCGTACCCGCTACGGCTCTACACATGCACAATTGAAGTCTTCTGGATTTATCGAAAGGAAACACAGGTCACTGAGGCATCGGCCTACATGTGGCACTGCTTCGCTGCTCTCTGATTGGCAGACGTTCGAACCGTCTACAGTGTGAAGGTTGGCAGCTGCCTCACCCAACTTTGCAAGTGGAATGGTTTAGTGTACGGGACGGACATAAGTTGGTCGGGGGTCACCACGAATTCAGGAGGGAATAGCATGCTGGGGTCAAATTCCAAACTCCCACTATAATTTTTGGCACTGCACGCCGGCTGCACCTAGCTTAATATTTTGAAAAAGAAACATATTTTTATCTTATAGTAATATATACACCATTATTCACTATCTCAGAAAAATGTAAATACATTTTGTTATTCTTACATTGGCCATAGTTCCATAAAACAAGGAATCCTTCCACAACTTTTAAAGGCTTTCTCTAGTCTCATCGACTTTCCTAAAACGAATGGACAACTATTCTATTAATATTTCTCGCTGCTAAGCTTCTCTCACCGGAGGACCATGCACAGGCCAATAGTTGACTATCACATTATTTTTATGAGAGAGAGAGAGAGAGAGAGAGAGAGAGAGAGAGAGAGAGAGAGAGAGAGAGAGAGAGAGAGAGAGAGAGAGAGAGAGAGAGAGAGAGAGAGAGAGAGAGAGAGAGAGAGAGAGAGAGAGAGAGAGTCTCCCTTTCAGACACAGCCCCGGGCAACGCCGGGACCCCCTCCCCCCTAGCCTCTATACAGCTCAATG